CAGAACCCCTGGAGGTGGGACTCAGAAATCTGCATTTAACAAGCTTTCCAGGTGGTGCAAAAAAATTGCCGTGAATGATGTCAATGTTTGTGTGAGTCTATACCTTGTAATATTTAGCCTGAAACGGGTGGAGGAAGCAAATGGAAGGCATTTGTCTTGTTATTGTCATTGAAGGAGACCCAGAGCCCATTCTGGGTAGAGGTGGATTTACCATGAGGCTGATGAGGCTTAAGCTTGGATCGCCCACAAGCAAGGACAGGTAGTAGAATGTTCTAGGAGGGCGTTCCCTCGCAGTCCAGTGGTTAGGACTCTGTGCTTTCACTGCCGAGGGTCCAGGATTAAAAAAAAAAAAAAATTCTAGGAGCAGGGGGAGGCCAGGATTGTCACCAGGAAGCATATTTATGGAAGCATGTTGGTAAATTGCTTAAGGAGAAACCAAAAGGGATGGGACATCAACCTGCAGGCACCACTAGTTTGAAGTGACTCATTTTTTCCTTCTGAATATTCACTTCCATCCTAAATCTATACTCATAATTTTACATATTTTCTTACAGAGGGCCTCAAAATGTAGTCCCCATAAAACCTGAATCTGTCTCTGATTTCTGAGGTCCAGAATGGTTCTTTGTTCTTTAAGAACTCTGTCCTGTGTTCCCCGAGGTTTTTAATTCACCGAGCACCAAGACAGGCGGCTCTCGGGCCCTCCCTCCAAACAGAACCAGCGGCAGGCACATGTTCAGCTGGAAATCTCCTTCCTTAGCCCCCAGGCCAGGGAACCCCTCGCTCACAAAGCGTGGTCGTGGGACCAGCCACCAGCCCTTGCTCCCTACTGCCCCCCAATGGCCCTTTGGTGACAAGACACCACGTGTGCACCTAGGGTGTGCCCTCTAGCGCCCTTCTCATGCTCCTGAAACCATTCAGAGTTTTATTACAGCTGCTTTAAATGGCTGGGGCTTTTGCCAGGGCCTCTCAAACCCCAGAGTGAAACCAGTTCCTCACTGGGAACCCTCAGTGGGTGGCTGCCTTCTCCTCAACATCGAGTGCCCGAGCAGCTCTCTGCAGCATGGCCACCTGGCTGCACAGGGACGCACATGCGCACGCAGGCACCCAGCACCCCAGAGATGCACCCACACGGGGAAGGGGCCAGGCAAAAAGTAAAACCAAGGGAAATAACACCATTGGGTGGGTTAGTTCTCTGGACCAGCTATAGCAAGCTGGTGTGTGTGTGTGTGTGTGTGTGTGTGTGTGTGTGTGTGTGTGTTAAATAACCAATTATTGCTTTAACAATCTCTTGTCACTTTATTTTTAATTTTTTGGCTGTGCCACGCGGCATGTGAGATCTTCGTTCCCCAACCAGGGATCGAACCGGCGCCCCCTGCATTGGAACCACAGAGCCTTAACCACTGGACCACCAGAGAAGTCCCACCCTGGTGTGTTTTTAAAAAGTAAATATGGGGGACTTCCCTGGTGGCTCAGTGTTTAAGAATCTGCCTGCTAATGCAGGGGACACGGGTTCGAGCCCCGTTCCGGAAAGATCCCACGTGCCATGGAGCAGCTAAGCCCATGTGCCACAACTACTGAGCCTGCGCTCTGGAGCCCACGAGCCACAGCTGCTGAGCCCGTGTGCAACAACTACTGAAGCCAGCACGCCTAGAGCCTGTGCTCCACAACAAGAGAAGCCACTGCAGTGAGAAGCCCGCACACCGCAACGAAGAGTTAGCCCACACTCGTTGCAACTAGAGAAGGCCCGTGCACAGCAACGAAGACCCAACGCAACCAAAAATTAATTTAAAAAAATTTTTTTAATTAAAAAAAAATATTAGGGCTTCTCTGGTGGCGCAGTGGTTGAGAGTCCGCCTGCCAGTGCAGGGGCTACGGGTTCGTGCCCCGGTCCGGGAAGATCCCACATGCCGCGGAGCAGCTGGGCCCGTGAGCCATGACCACTGAGCCTGCGCGTCCGGAGCCTGTGCTCCACAATGGGAGAGGCCACAACAGTGAGAGGCCCGCGTACCGCAAAAAA